GTATGTTATTTTATATATTCATGCATAGCAGAAACTGTTTTCTTTTTTATTCCTTTTTTCCTGTTTTATTTGGGCAACGCCAACGAGCGGAAAATGTTACACATACGACCCGTGTGACGGCAGACAGCAGCGAATTGTTTGTTTGTTTGCTCGGGTTTTGTGTCTCCGCCTTTGCCCCTCCCCATGTTTGTCTGCCCCCCCTCTTGTGACTTCTGCTTTGTTGCATTTGCATAATGAGTTCTCCTTGGCCATGGTCTTCAAAGGTTGCACCACCTGTTTTCCCTGATCTTCCCCGCCTTTCATGCCGACCAGCTGCCTGCAGCGAGTGGCACGTGCTTGTCACTGTTACTTGGTATCTTTGTAGCTGTATCGGTGGATACACGGAAAAAACGGATTTAAATTTTTACATAAAATATACGGTTTTATATAATTTTAAATGCTGACTTATGTCAAATTTATGATGCATCTTTGTTCGTATACAAAATAAATAAATTAATGTTTAAAAAATATAAAATTGAGCGGCACATATCAATCTAATCTTAGAGATACATTCATCTTTATATAACTATTTTTTATTAAAATAATCGTTATATGGATTTTCTCTTAACACACAAATCTGATTAATTTTCAGCAATAAAAACCCCAATTAATTTTTTGCTCTCTGTTGGTGCCATGGAAATTTGTTGCGCGAGCGGCAAACTTTTGTTTTTGTTTTGCAATTTTCATCAAGGTCAAACCGGCTGTTCATTATCGCTGTGGTTGTCGTTGTTTCTGTGCATTTGGCTGGGGTAATAACACCCACCCCCACTGAAGTCAGACAGGCAAATGAGCAATTGGAAGCTCAGGAAATTCCAACCAAAAGTAAGCCGACTTTTGTCAAATTGAAATCCTTTAAGCCAGTCAGTGATTTCAATTTTCATAATTGTAAAACTTTCACCAGAGAGGGCACTATAATGAAAATTCAGTAACAGCTGCACCATTGGCCCATTACGTATACGCAGGGTGAGCCATGGGACCACAGTCAGCTGGCTAATTGACGACAGCAAATTAAGTGGAGAGAAATCCAAAAGCAAGAGAGGTGTGTGTGCATATAGAAAGAGATTACTGGAACGATCGGTGCAAATGCAAACTGAGAACTGAGAAATGCAAACTGAGAATCGGAGAATCTCGGCCTGAGATAGCGGTGACTTTTCCAAAGTCGTGAGCAGAGAAAAACTGGCCACAGATCCATGGGATTGAAGGTGATTCGCTGGATGCTCGAAAAGCTCTCGTATGATATTGTTTTATTTTTTATTTCTTTATATAATTGTTTGGCCTGCCAAGCTTTCCGAGATATCCAGTATTTATCTTTCGACTGTTTCGTAATGTATCTCTATCGTTCTATCGTTCCTTATTGATATTAATTAGTCTGGATCGCAGCACTTCCTCAATCGGTCAGTTATCAGATCTAATAGTTAATTAGTTTCCTGTACGGAACGTTACCTCATCCTTATCTGGCATATTCACTTATACGTATAAGAACACAATCGAAAAGTCTTTTGGATCTCGGCAAACTTCAGCCACGTTCGCGTTATCTATTCAAATATTCGTTAATCTTCACTTAACCGTTGGTTTAACCTTTGGTTTAAGTTTTGAGTTTAATGTTTATTTATTTTTGATTGTCACTCGCGAGTGTTTTGTGTTTTATTCAATACTTTAAGGTTTTTTTAAAATATTCTACTGTGTTTTTGCAAAGATAAATACTAATTTTTCGATGCCCGAACCGGATATATTTATTCAGAATTCGAATCGTGATTTTCTGCTGGGGGACGCGCGCGATTTCCTCGGTTTGTCATCCGCTGGCGTCGCGCTGCTTTTCCATTCTGAACTGTCGGAATTATAGAATCGAGAGCTTTTCCCGCATTCAGTAACTTTTCATAACCGAGCGAGAGAGAGCCGCAAAAAATAATAAATACAAAATGAGAACCCGTCGGCGATTGCATTTCAGATTCAAATTAATTTTGATTCTCATTTCAGTTTGTTATTGTTTTTTGCCCGGGACGTGCTCTTTTTCTTGGCACTGCAATTTCACAATAAACAATAAACAATCTGTGCAACTATCTACTGCAAAGACTTTAAGAGGGGATCTTATCGGGGTGGTGTGATGTGGGCTAAAAGGGGCGTTTTCTAAGCGCATAAACAAAAACTAACTTGATAATAGAAAACTGCAGTGCGAGTCGTGGGTGCAATGTGTTCGCGGAAGTAATTTCATTCTAAGTGGCCTCAAGGTGTTTCTCTCAATCGCACATCTTACAATTGCCGTTAAGTCTCTAGGAGTTTTATAATAAAACTTAATAAAATTTAAAATAATGTTTTATAGTAAATTACAAAATATTCAACGTTAATACAATTTTACTCATTCTATTTTAAATTTTGATAAATCCAGAAATTTGTAAACCTAAAGAAAATATTTCTTTTTTTAAATAATTGTTTTTAAATATTATTTTTAATATTAAATAAAAAAAATCTATTAGAACATAAAAAAAAAAAATTAACCCATATGGACTTAACAATAATTTATTTCCCTGAACCCCGATTGCTCCTATTCATGTGACCCCATCTGTTCATTCACATGCATGGCTGGCAAGGTCACAATTTTCGAGCGTGCCAAGTGGTTGACGATTTCACGTTGTGAAAATTTTCTTAAATTTAGTTGCATTCATTCACAGCTGCTCGAGTTTCTCTGTTTACAATGTAAACACGTGCTGTGTGAAATTACACGCTAGAAAGAGCGAAAGAGAGGGCTTTCTAACTGAGAGAGACAGGCGAAAAGATAGCGGCAGAGACATTGCGTATACGCATCGTTGGCCATTTGCGGAGGGCACGTGAATAAAGCGTGTTTTGGGCGGGTATAAAAATAGCCAAGCTTGCGCGAAGATTGTGTTTTATTATATTAACGTCAGTCTGGGGAATGAGCAATATCTGCCGCCCCCCTCTGAAGAATTTTAACAAGACCGAAACATCCTTCGAATTTTTTGGAGGAGACGAGGACCGTAGTTTGTTAAATAAAATGAACAATTACGGGCACCAATCATGAGCGGAAAAAGCTGCACGAACCGACAGGCTTTTTTGTTATGAAGGTTAGCCAAATGTCAGTTCAGTTCAGTTCAGTTCGGTTTCCCTTCTTCTTAAATGGGGTGTCCTTTTTGTGGCACGACAGGCACAGCTCGGGGATTCACCAACACAAGCGCCGCAAAAGGACCTCCACTTCCGCATTGTCACATACAAATAGCTCTTCACTTTAACAACGCTTTTAATGCCACAACTTTACTAGGGTTTTCGCTTTAACAAAGATGAATGATATGTGTATGTGCTGCAGAAAACACTATAATCAATTTATATCCGTCTACTTTCGATCAAGAACCCTTCTTTTGTGTCCTTATTTCTCAATTGCTTTGCTCTTAAAACCTTGAGAAGGGTAATAACTTTCAATAAAATGGGGTTTATGGTTTTTGGCAATAAAGAATTAATTTGGGAACAAAAAGCCGAACAAGTAGGCATTTTAAAAACGGAATTGGTATTTATTTTAATTTTATGTAGTTGTAGGATTTTGTATAATAATAATTTTTTGGGTAACCTTTTCCATTTAAGAAATGTATTCCGAAAAAACATTTACAAATTAAGCCACAATGAAATCTAAAAAAAAAAATTAATATTTTTCATACCTAAATATAATGTTTCGATTTACTTTCTTTAAATATTTCTTTATGAAAGGGTATTTTTTTTACATATATAATAATTTTTTATTTAGCTTGTTTTTACTTTTCCGTTTGTCGGCACTTTTGCTCTTTTCATTCCTTTTCCAGCCGCACTTATTTTTAGATCCGAGCACCTAATCCGCCGCCTCTTGGGTGGCAAGGTGGGCGTGGTGGGTGGGAGGGGGTGGCTCTGGTAATTAAAGCGCAAACTGGCGCCCACTTGATGAGGGATTCCACGGACGGGAAGACAAAGGCTAAGCTCGGTGAAAAGCAAGTGCACTTACTTCTTGGCATCGGGCGACTGGCGGCAGAGTGGGTATCCAATTAAACGGAAACGGGATGTGCATTGGCATTATCAGCGGCTCAGCGGGTGACTAAAACTACTCTGACTTTTGGCCCCAGCAAATCCAGCAGGGTTTTCGGGGGTAGGGAGTTTCCACCTGACCCCAGGTGGGCGATTCACAAGGAACTGCTCTCTTATCGATTTTTACGCACTTAATTCCGCTTGTGTGGCGGTTAATTCGGTTTGACACTTGGATATATAACTCTATATATCGGTTCCTGTTCCTCAAATGCACCCAGATGGTTTGGAGGCGGACAGCTGCTGCACTGGGAACACCTCGGAAAACAGGACCGTGCCAGACGAGAAAACGCGCTAAACTGGATGACAACATGGAAAACATTGGCCAACAGGGCTCCAAAAGGTGGTTGCGGTGGGAAATGTTAGGATGCGAGGGAAATGTTAGTTTTTCCACCCCTTAGCTTCTGTAGGAAAATTAACTAAATATTATAAGATGGTGAGAATATTTTATTTTTAATATGTTTATATATTGTTAAAATTTTCTGAATTAAATTTTATATTTTATTCAACCATTATTCTTTGAAAGAGTTACAGCTGTTCACCTACAGCAGAAAATGTAAAGAATTTACACAGGGAAATTTCCCAGCTGAGCTGTTGGCCGGAAAATTTGGAGCGTCATCTTTTGGCCAGAGTTTGCGTTTTTGAAAAGTGCGTTACAAGTGAAATATAAAATTTTGTTTAAAAATTGTATGAGAATGTAGGCTAATTCCAACTTTATGAAAAGAATGAAACTATAAAGAAGTAGTAACAAATAAAGTTCCAGGAATTCCCCTTAAAATAAAAAAAATCAGGTATTGATTTCTTTAAAATAACTTCCCCAAGACCACTACAAATCTGATTTTATGCTTGCAATAACCATTAAAAGTGAAAAATATGGGCAACCATAAACCAGTAGTCATAAATATTTATTCGGTTTAGTACAATAGGTAAGCATGCACAGTTTAATAATAGCATTTCATGATGATTCGTCTTTGAACAACAGGTTATTGCAAGTAGTAAGCCGTAGAAGGCGCGACTCCTGTTCCTTTGGAGCGCCCCGAATAGTTTGCACGGTAAGCTGTGTGTAAGAGTGCCTAACATATTAAATATATAGGTATACATTAGATAGTAACGAACGCAGGGGTAAGCCACAATTGAAAATCACATTGGGGGTTCTTAAGTGAAAGAATGCAACGAACGGAAAGGCCGGAACGCAATAAACAACAACAAATGCAGCCGAGTGCTTAAAGTGATGTATAGTCGACGATCCTGGGGATCAGCAGCTTGCAAAAATACAATATCTCTCTTTCTCTATCTCTGTGTTTTGCCGAAAATAGTTATTCTCTCTAAATCTCTGTAATTTCCTTGGTTAATCACTCTGTTTGACACCCGAAACTGGAGCTATTGCTAGATCTTTTGAATTTTGGCTTCTGAGCGACTATCTCCGCAGATCGATGACCTTGATCTTGGCCTGGTTGTCCATCCGGATGTGCTGCGCCTCCATGAAGAGCGGCGGGTCATTGGGATGCGGATGAAAGCCCGACTGGCGACACTGGGCAATGTAGTCGAGTCCGTAGTGCGGCGTGAGTATAAAGAAACCAGTGCTGTAATAGTAAGATATGGATTGCAGATAAGCAGGTGCTATCCCAAGTGACTCATCGGGTGACTCACGTATTGTACTTGGGGGCACACACAATGGCCAGGGCTTCGGGCATCATGATCTGATAGGAGCAGTGCGTATGCAGGTCAACGGAGGACAAGAACGCCGTCTGAGTGGGATGGGTCTAGAGAGCATTTTACAATTAGATGGGAAATAATGGCGATATATAGAGAGCACCCACATGTATCCATCCCAGCGTAATCAGTTGCATCTGGTCCTGCACATCGAATATCTGCTCCTCGTGCATCGTATTGCAGCTATCCGGAGTTCCCTGCTGTTGCGGCGTTATGATGTGCGTGATGTTCAGCTGGTTCTGCGACAGATGACCAGCCAATACGCCGCAGGTCTCGATGTTCTTCGAGGTGTTGGCCAGGGCCAGCTTCAGGAACACCTCCATCGTGTCCCCGGGCACGTGAACGAGGCGCAAAGAGCCCGCCAGCAGAGAATCCGTGCGGTTGTACGACGGCTTCTGGTTGCGATCGAAGCTGGGTTTAGAGCTGGAAAAATAAATATAATTATAGTTAATAAATCTATGATAAATCTGACTCTTAATTACATTAATGGAAAAACACAATCTCTAAAATTATCGCGAAAAACCCTGCAGTGTTTGATCAAACTATCAGTTTAATGAGCCTATCAGTTTTCTTATCAACTCTAATCAAAGTGGGATCGTTTTATAGCTGACGATCGTTCGATAAGCTCGCCTAGGCCTTATGTTTGTTTGAGGTTCTCAATTTCAAACCTCGAATGAGTGGAAAGCAGTTTATAAGCAAACAAATGATTTGCTGACTATATAGAATTGCAACCCTACTGCGGTGACATGTTTATAGGAACTCTTGAGGCTTCATGTTTGTTTACAGTAAAGGGAGATGACTAGACGGATTGGAATTCTAGCTTAGAATAGAAACCCTTGTTTGAATCTCACTTGGCTGTCTTATCGGCGGCTGCTTCGCTGGCCGCGGGCAGCAGGAGTCCCGATCCCGGCAGGCTGCGATTGGCGCCCGTGGGAAAGTCATTCGGGTAGACCACCTGGTCGAGCAGGCCGAGATCTGGAGCCGATGGCTGGCTGCCCTCGTCGATGAGCACGTGCAGATTGGCCGGGATGAGGGATGGAATGCCGCTGGATGAGCCGCCGCCTGCCGCCTTCTCCCTTTCCTTCTGCCGCTGGCGCTCCCTTTCGCGCTCCAGCTCCCTGACCCTCTCCGCCTCCTTGCTGGCCAGGAACTGCTCGTACTCCCGCTGGTAGTGGGTCAGTAGCTTGGCCCTTAGCTTCTCCGTCGTGGGCATGATCTCGTCCTTGATCTTCCGGTTGATATCCCGCACCTCGGCCTTGACACTTCCATAATCCGGATGCTGGCGGATCTTCTCGATGAAGAGGGTCATGTAGCGCAAGTAGAGGATGAAGGCGTTCTCGTGGTTGCCCTCCCGCAGGTAAACGTTGGCCATGCGCAGCATCTCGGTGCCCGAGCGATAATACCTGCAAGGACAAATGGGTGGGTAAGTGAGTGTGTGTAGGGAACTGAGCACCCAGGAGGCCTTGGCCAACCAAGGTCGCATCCTTGGAGGGGGAAAGTGGAAGGTGACCCTGGAACCGAAGGACTCCCACTCACCGCGTGACTGGCATGTTCTTGTCCACCTCGATGAGGTTGCCGCAGTGCGACAGGTGCTTCATCCGCTCCTGCGGCTCCACGACGCCCATGCTCATGTTGTTCACAGCCTTCGACATGGTTTCAGTTGCTCTTGTTCCAGCGACTTCTGCGGGTTTCCACTGCCTGCTCTCCTGGGGGATTCCCTTGGCTGTTGTCTTGGTTTGTGGGATTCGAAGTTTGGTTGGCTGCCAATTGAACGCTATTCCGCAATCTTCTTGCGCGGAGAATTACTCATAATTACGCAGGTGGCGTCCTCTGAAAAAGCTGGAAACAGATGTTTTCCCACGCAGTCAGCTGTGCGCGATACCGTTGCAATGGGCATCGATGCCTTATCGATACTTATCGATGGTAAACTCATCGACTACCAAGGCGAGGAATACGTTACTTTTTGAATTTATTAGATACTATTTATGTATTTGAAAAACTGGTAATGTACAAATTGCTTTGAATGTTTTGTTAATAGCTAATGTGTTATTTTATTTTGCCCACAGTAAATGATATAATATTAATTTAATTATTTATTAATTTAAATATTAATTCAGCATTAAATTAAAGTATAAGGTGTTTCCTTTATATTATTTTAAAATATATGAATGTTAAAAAATAAGCACACATGTCATTTCTTTTATTTTTAGTTTTAATAACAATCTTGACGTCTTCGCTTTGATAAGATTTATTAACTAAATTCTCATATAAAAAGAAATATTTTAAGACATTCTATTTTTTATTGCTCTTATATATTTTGTTTTTTGGTCCTATCTACTATTTTTACCCGTGTTCTATTTATATTAAAAAAGTAAACCTTCCTTTAGTTGTTTCCAATTTTGATTGCATTTATGAAAGCTGTTTTTACGATTTATCAATGGTAAATAAAATTGGCAGATGTTTTGTTACAATTTTGGCAACCACAAAAAGGCAATTACACGTGCCGAAAATAATAAATACCTACAATATACACGTGCCTTAGTTTTTGTAGCAGAGAGAAAAACAATACAATAAAAGTAATGTCTTAAATTAAAAAACTTGTAACTTGTACTTGATATAATCAAGTGAATCTTAGCTTAACCTTATACTAATTTAAATAATCCACCTTGAAGGTCAAATAACGCCCAAATAAAATTCTTTGATTAAAGCCTTCTAATAGTACGTTGCAAATTTGTATTTTTATAGAAACCAAACCGTACATTCCCCCTCCAATTGCACGTACTTAATCCGTATCGCTGCAAATAAAACATGGCTAATCTTGGGTAATACACTCGAAGTTTAGCGATAGTTGGACCTTATCAATTGGTTATTTTAAAGACCCCTCTGGCTGGATCGATTTTGGGTGCCCATTCAGTAGTAGCGCGTGGGTCGATCCCGAAAGAAGTCGGCAGGAAACTTATTTCTGGGGTAAGTTAGATTCCAAGCAATTATCCGTACAAATATCGCGGACTTGGAGTGCGAAAATATCGTGTTTGCAGGAGTCAAAGTGCGCACTTGTTTACCCACGAGTGTATTACCACTAAGTGTGTTCCAATCTAAGTCCCCTGATCTGCGGAAACTAACGAGGCGATATGATAAGCTATCGGTGGATTATTTAAAGCATGCAGATCGGGCAAAACCAACAGTGCAGGTGGGAATATTGGGCAGCCTAAAGGTAGATGTGTTATAAGATATTCAATTATAGTTAGAATTTGTAAAGAATTTTTAGGATTTTAGGATTTACATATATTGATCCTGTAAAGTATATCTTTTTTCACGATTACTAATAGATTTGTACAAAGGTTATATTTATCTGTTGATTAAAGATAGTAAGATAGTGCTATATTTTTGGTACACCCCATACCGATCAAACATGGATTTGTATGAACATAAAGAGATTGAGCGATCGTCAGCTTGATTGACCGCTTGTACGACTGACCAACTGATGGATTGACGCCCACAAAGCGCCCAAAAAAAAAATAAAAACCGAAGAGCCGAAAACCCATTCACAGATGCAAATGCCGAGAGCCGAAGTCCCCGATTCAGGTTCGGTTTGAGATTGAGCTTGGCTTGAAAACGGTTGGCTCGATGCGATCCGATCAGTCGAGTGCCAACTTGGGCGCCAATCCCACGGGTCTCTCGCTGCGGTTTCATTTCGAGATAGTTTCGTTTTTTCAGAGGGGCGGGGACCAAAAAAAAAGTACAACAAAATAAACTGTCGCGTTTCGTGGAAAGATAAATAAATCGAAACAAGTGGAGGCCAGAGTGGTGTTTTGAAATCAGTTTTTGGCATCGACAAGCGCCGAGCTGCAAGTGCAAATACTGCACATTATCCATTAATTGGGCGGATAAAAAGCGTGTGATAAGCGCAAAATAAATATACAATCACTATAATTGCATCCCGACCAAGTTTAAACCATAAATGTGAGTGCCGAAGCTAATGAGACAGTACGAAAAAAGGAATTCCCATTGCATAACCCTCAAAAAACAAGTCCAAGCATCCCTAAATCAGTGCAAGTAACCTCAGGAAAACCATATATGTACCATATAATACCTCTGCTCATCTTATAAAAGGCTCATCAAACGAAATCTTCTGTAATTTGCTCAATTGGCGCGTTTGTCCGGCGATCAAGAGATACTTTTGCATTTCTATATATTTTGATTGCTCTCTTTTTTCGTTTTTTTTTGGTGTGCGTTACATTTTTGAGCCTCCAGGCGATTGCAAAAGTATCCGAAATCGAAATCCGCACAAAAGATACGTGTTTGCCGGCCCATTTGTATCTTCGTATCGTTTTGTATCTTTGTATCTTGTGCGATGGCCCTGCAGCTGATAGTTTTGTCCGCTGTTTATAGCCGAGCATATATTTATTTAATTTTCGTTCGTAATTTTCAATGTCAGACCCGTGGTGTGTAAATTATGCAAAGTGTAGGACAAATAATGGGGATCAGGTGGCTGATTCACTGGCACTGCTTTACATGCACGGCAATTACCCACTCGATTTCCTACTTAACGCCTTTTGCGGGAATCCAAAAAATAGAAACAGAATAAAGAGAATGAAGTGTTCTATGTGGAACCCAGTGCGCATACAAAAGAAGTCGATTCATCATTAAGTTCGAAACAAAAGCAGGCGGAAAAAATAGGAAAAGAGGGGGTGCTAATGGAAAACCCCAACTACTTTTGGTTTCAAGAAAGATATACTACGGCGGTCAGCATAAAAGTATCTATTATACCACATGTGCTCTCAATGTGTTTATCAGTTTGAAAGGCAATGCAGAAAAATAAATAACAATTTTACACAGAGAAAAAATATAACACAAAAAAATATTTGAAAAATGCTTCATAAAATTAAAATTGATCTAATCGAAAATCATAATATATACTTCATACTTATTAAAGTTTTTTTATTTTTACTTACACTTACAAAACTTCCATTAACATTTTTTTTAAGAGTAAGTGGTTCCAGTATCTTGACCGCAACTGTAAAGTAACCACTGAACCACTGAAGAAGCCGCTTTGCTTTCGCAACTGATAAAAACCGGTTCCGAAGACGGACTTCAAAAATTGATAAGAGATCCCCCGCCTGTCATCTTGCAACTGCGGGTCGATTGTTTGCTTTGTTATTATTATTATTACAGTATATTGTTATTGTTACGCAGCTTGTTATTGTTATTGTTAATGCCATTGTCGATGGGTCTGCTGGAGGTCACAACCGCCCCAATCTCAGCCCCATTCGAAGTACGATTGCCGAACGACCGACGAGGGGAATATTTGCATTTGTCCGCTTTATCTATAACCAATTGATAGATGAGGGCCGGGTTTTTAATACAGCTGTCCAACTGTCAATCGAACCCATGTGTCTTTCGTCACCATCGTGTTTTGTTGCAGATATTTGCAATATGCGATAGGATTGCCAAATACAAACGGGGGTCTCTTGATTTCTGCGTTTCCGATTTGGTTAAATGGAGATTGTAGATTACTTTTAAAGAATATTTATTGATCAGAACTCAAAGAAAAAAGAAGTGTGTTAGATTGTTACTTATAGGTTTTGCCTTCACCAAATAAAATTATGAATATAAAGCCAATATCACCCATTAACATATTTTTTGATCAGCCTATTAATTTTTGGCTTAATCGCCTTGTTAATTTGATTATCGAGCTATTAATATTGTTCATTCAAACACTTTAAAAAGTCATAAATGCCCAAGACTAAAATGTGGGTCCATTATTTATTAATAGCTGAAAATGTGGTTAAACTTGGTGCATTTTTTTTTTAATTACAGCTAAAATTTTTAGCAGTAATTAAAAGTTTATTGCTTTTAATCATGCATGCAAAAAATGTGTGTGTTTTTTTTAATATGGCTAAATATTTATGTCACAGATAAGGCGTTCTAATTGCTCAAGGGAAATTATATAATCTAAACACGAAAGTTTAGATTTAGGGATAGCGATTAGCAGTTTATTTAGAAAACAAATTAAATATATTACATTTTTATTCGCAATTATTTATTAATTTTATTTATTTTCTATTTTACTTACAGATTTAAGTTAAGTCCTCCAAAGTCAAAGATGGCCATTAGCAAGATAGCCTTCTTGGCTCTTTTGGCCCTGAGTTCCCTATGCGGATTGACCAGTGCCACCTACAAAGTGGGCGTGGGTCGGGCGGATATCACAGGACCTCCAGTGGAGATTAATTTCGTGAGTATCATCGCTATAGCTCCCTCCTTATAGACCATCTTATTCGATTATCTCCTTTAACAGATGGGCTATGCCAACATCAAGCAAGTGGGTCGTGGCATCCACACCCGCGTCTTTGCCCGCGCCTTTGTGGTGGAGGACGAGAAGGGCAATCGGGTGGCCTTCGTGAGTGCGGATGCGGGAATGATGGGCTACGGGCTGAAGAGGGAGGTAATAAAGCGTCTGCAGGCTCGCTATGGAAACCTCTACCACAACGATAATGTGGCCATCAGTGGCACCCACACCCACGGAGCTCCCGGTGGTTTCCTGATGCACCTGCTCTACGATATCTCCATTCTCGGCTTTGTGCCTCAGACCTTTGAGGTGATGGCTCAGGGATTGTATTTGGTAGGTATTATGAGACAGAAAGAAAAAAATGTCAAAAGATCAGGTCAATTTCATATTTTCATCATATAATTTTGTTATTTTATTTTATA